AATTAATCATGTCCCTGACCATCCAAATAATCACACTGAAGACTCGCAGGAGGAGCAAAGACTGGCTCTGGTTGAAGAATATCTGAGGAGGAATAAGAATGTTGAACTCTTACAGCAAAAGATGGTGCTGACTTTCTCCCTGAGGCGCAAGGAGATTGTGGAGCTAGGGCCTATGGTGTCAGAAGTTCAGGGACGGTGGCCTTCTCTGTTATGTGAGCAAGTGGTAAGAAGCTGAGCAAGGAATATATCATAAATGTATTGATTTTCAAAACAAAAGTCTGGAGTTGCTTCTGTATATAAAAAAATATATACATATATTTATATAAAAGGCATATTTTAACATTAGGATGGTGTTGGAATTGTTTTCTCTGTCATTGTTGAAGGCAATATAATGTTCAGTGAAATCTCTACCTTTTCTGAGGCATTCTTGTTGTTTGGCCTGACCTACACTTTCAATTTGGAATATCCTAAAAGCCTGACGCACACTTTCACATGCATTCAGACAATCTTTGTGTGTCTGGATGATGATAAACCTCTGAAACCGTCCCTACTGACCTTGAAACACGATTTGTTGCTTGCATGGAAACCTGTATGTAAGCCTGTGTTCTTAACAATCAGGCAACTTAAAACTGTGATAAGTGCTTAAAAACTGGATCACTTAAAATGTTAAACAGCAGGTTTGGATATATTACGTTAAATGTATGGATAGATAATTTAAACAGCAGGTATGGATACATTACTTAAACTTATGGATCGATATGTTAAACAGGAGGTTACTCTAAGCCCATTATTCCCAAACTATTGTTTGCGTACCCCTAGGGGATACGCAAAGTCATGACAGGGGGTACGGGAAAAGATTTTGGAAGAAAAAAAAAATGAGGGAAAAAAAAATAAAAATCAAATGCCTTACAATAGTGCAACGCAATACAAAAACCCCTACCAATCAATCCCAACACTTTACTACGAATAAAGTTTTAGTAGGGGGAAGAAAAAACATCAAATAAAAGTGAATGTAGGTAAGGTAATAAGCCTAATTTACAACAGAAAAAAAACCTGCCGATAGGTTGTTTGCAATCACGTGATTCTGAAATTCAGATGGGGGGCAGGAAGTGGAGAACGGTCGCTGGAAATGAATGAAAGAGAGTATACAAAAGTGTTTGGTTGAGCCTGCGTGTACCAGGTATTATAATAAAAATAGTAAAATATATCGGATATGATCCGTACACACTGAGGAAAAGTGTTTTTCGTACTTGTTGTCAGACTTTCCTTATAGGTGGTTTGCCGTGACAAAGTCTCAGTTTTCTTTAACTAC